TCGATAAGCTTGATCCTTAAGACTTGGATGTCCCAAGTCGATTCACCTTCAGATCTAGACTCTAGAACCAAGTTCATGGCATAAAGATGCAAGCTTTATGGCCATATTGGCCCATGCACCCCTTTAGACCTTATTTTGGGTCCTTAAAGCTTATACTTCCATGCATGCACGTAAAGTTCATAACTTTACGTGCTAGATCGATATTAGAAGCCCATATCTACCTTTTGGATGAGAGTTGTTGTAACACCGTAAATTTCAAGACAAAATTTTCATTTAAAATAATCATTTTACTCTTAGAAACACTTGTTTAAAATCTTATTCATAGTCGATTTACAAAACATAACTCCATTTTCACTTGCATAGAAAACCAAGATCCTCCAAAATATGACTCTTTCTTTGGTGTGTACAATCAAGCCGGTGCCGTCCCGTGATACTGAAAGAAACCTGTAAAACATCAAACAAAACACTGTAAGCACGAAGCTTAGTGAGTTCCCCAAAATACCACACATAACACATATTAGCCACTCGAGGCTATAACTCTGTGGGTCCGTGCACCCAAACTCTGTGAACCCTCAGGTTCTAACTCTGGGAACCTTCCGGTTCCAACTCTATAAACATGCACAACATAAATCACATAGAAATAATGCAGTACAACACATCACGTACATATAGCATACAAATACTCTAATCACATAACTCTGGTTACCTACTCAAGGTAAAGTATAGTGAGAAGACTCACCTGGCAAGCAGAAAGCAGATATCCCCACACTTGAATCTCAAACTCGCCACCGCCTAACACGTAAGGCAAATACTCTCATGAATATAACTCTCGAGGCTAGAATAAATCCTCTCATAACACCCTCTTATGGGTAAAAGACTATTTTACCTCTCTCTTGGCCCAAAGGCCACATCGCTGTCCAAACCCTAAAACTCAACGTCCAACCCTTGGTCGAAATCAAAGTCCTCAGTCTAGGTCAACCCTTGACTGACTCTACTCGCCGAGTCAACCCTGTGACTCGTCGAGTTCCCATAATCAGAACTTCCCCATATCGCGACTCAACTCGTCGAGTCACCACGAGACTCGCCGAGTCCCACAACTCTGAGTCCACTCACACCCAACTCACCGAGTCATCCCTTGACTCACCGATTCTCGACTCAACCAGGAAATATTTGGGACTCTTCATCAAGACTCGTCGAGTCCAAGAACAGACTCGCCGAGTCTACGGCTATCTTCAACCTACTCGCCGAGTTGTTCATACAACTCGCCGAGTTCCAGACCATCTTCATCCAACTCGTCGAGTCCACCCATGTGACTCGCCGAGTACCGCCGGTCTGAATACATTCCGAAGCATTCCAGGCCATGCAACTACTCCAAGACATAGATCTAGCCTCCTACCACTCATCCATCACGTAAAGTGGCAAACTTTACGTGAATCCAAAGAGATCTAAGCCGTTTGCACATTGGGGCTAGGGTTTGGGACATGCAAGCTTCACTAAACACTCCAACACAGGGACTTTCATGCTCTCTGATTCTTCTCCCTTCCAGATCTGAGGTAGCAACCTCAGATCTAACCTCTAGACTTCCCATTTCATCCATAGACAATTTCTCACAAACCCCAAAATGAAGAAACAACATAATCAATAGGTCAAAAACGAGATACTACCTCTAAGTGATGCCCCAACTGCAATGCAATTCGAATCCAAGCAAAGCCCCTTGCTCCAAGCCTTCAATCTTCCCAAAATTCCTTCAACCATTACTTCTCCAAGCTCCAATCCACTCAAAAATGGTGCTTCTCCGCGATTTAGGGTTTTCTGGGGCTCAAGGGGTGATAAAGAGGCTGGGAGGAAGACATAATGATCATTATATAAGGCTCAACCCCGAGAATCAGGGTTTTCTCCACTCAGCGCCTACTCGCCGAGTCCAATACTCTGACTCGCCGAGTCGGCCACTTAACACGCGACCAAGTCGCGACTCTACTCGCCGAGTCCACACATGGACTCGCCGAGTCGCTCTTTCCCAATTTACTCTTTTAGCCCTTCAACTCTACTCTTGATATTCCGGGATGTTACAGTTGTACGCCAAAAATCGAGTTATAGACTTGGACAATAGGCGAATCGACTAGTTGTTCTTGGAACTCGGCGAGTCCGAGGCTTCAGTCCCCAATCTGTTGTGATTCAAAGGGACCCAGCTGAGGGATAGCAAGCTTTTAGACGAGTCCAGAGGAGTGATTCGACATATTGAGATATGGCCTCAATCTTGAAACCATGGGACTCGACGAGTGTTAAAACACACTCGGCGAGTCCAAGACAATCTTCTTACCCACAAGAGCAGACTCGACAAGTTGTTCATACAACTCGATGAGGCATAGTCTGGACGTGTTCATATGATGAAGATGAACTCGACGGGTTGTTCATACAACTCGGCGAGTCGGATGAAGATTGACTCGAGGAATTATAGAAGGAGAACTCGTCAAGTCTTTGCTAAGCTCGACGAGTAGAGCCGGGTAAGGGGCAGAAGAAAGGATAAGGACTCGGCGAGTCGGGACAAATAGAAGTTGACTTTGACCAGGTATAAAATAGTCACTTTACCCTAGGATTTGTTATCAGTGTTTGATTAAGTGTCTTTATGGGAATTGTAGCCGAGGAGTTACCGGAGCAGCAAACAGACAGTTCCCGATCAACATTTCAGCAGTTAGCCTTACGAGGTGAGTTTCCTTCCAGTGGGAACGGGTCTACGGCCACAATGTCGACCTGTTTAGATAGCAGTAGTTCAGTATGCTTGATGTCTTTGTGATTCAGGCATGTCCATGTGTTATGTGTTCCGTGTTGTGGTCCGATGCAGTATGCAGTTTATGAGTTATTGTTATATGTTATGATTATGTTATGTTATGTTCAGTCAGTTCCGGACTCCGGTCCGATGCAGAGGGCGAGGCCCTAGTTAGTTCCGGACTTCAGTCCGATGCAGTGGGCAAGGCCATAGTCAGTTCCGGACTTCGGTCCGATGCAGTGAGCAAGGCCCGGTATGTGCTTTATTTGTTATTGCATGGTATGTGGTAGTTTGGGGGAGCTCACTAAGCTTCGTGCTTAGAGTTTTCATTTTTGGTTTCAGGCACTTCAGTTAGCAAGGGGAAGGGCTCAGGTTGATGGCATGGCACACACCACAGTTTTAGCCTAGGAGTTAGACTATGATATTTTGACACGATCATGACATCATATTTGATTTGATACATTTATTATGACATTTTGAGATACATGACTTATGGCTTTGTTATATGATATTTTGATATTATGGTTTTAGTAATGTTTTCAAATGAAATTTTTGGCTTGTATTTTTGGGATGTTTCAGATTACGAGGATACATTCGCACCTGTCACAAAAATGAATACAATCAAAATTTTAATATCAGTTGCAACAAATGAGAATTGGCCACTTAAGCAATTTGATGTGAAAAACGCCTTCCTAAATGTGTGTTTGGAAGATGAAGTTTATATGGATTTGCCTCCAGGAATAAACTATAATGGGAAAGTGTGTAAGCTCAAGAAGGCATTGTATGGTTTGAAACAGTCACCTCATGCATGGTTTGGACGTTTTTCTAATTTTATGAAGAAATAGGGTATAAACAGAGTGATGCCAATCACACTCTATTTGTGAAGAGCATCGGAAAGATTACAGCCTTGATTGTGTATGTAGATGATATGGTAGTCACCGGAAACGATCTTGATGAAATAAACAAATTCCAATCACTTCTAGAGAGGGGATTTGAGCTTAAGGACCTCAGGCCAGTGAAGTACTTCCTTGGAATTGAAGTAGCAAGATCTAAAAATGGAATCTCTATGTGTCAAAGAAAATATGTTCTAGAAGTAAATCACAAACTCTCTAGCTCATCAATACAAGTCCCGACAAATAAAGAAAGGTACCAAAGGTTGGTTGGGAAGTTAATTTATTTATCCCACACAAGACCGGATATTGCCTATGCAATAAGTGTAGTTAGCCGGTTTATGCAATCACAAAGTGAAGACCATATGAATGCAGTGTATCGAATTTTGAAGTACCTCAAGTCTTCTCCAGGAAAAGACTTGTTTTTTGGAAAAAAAATAAAGGCAGTGGTGTATTTGGTTACTCAGATGCAGACTGGGCAGGAGATAGAAATGATGGAAAATCTACATCTGGTTACTTCACGTTTGTTGGCAGAAATCTTACTACGTGGCGAAGTAAGAAACAGAATGTTTTGGCGAGGTCGAGTGCTGAGGCAGAATTTAGAGGAGTGGTGCATGGTATTTGTGAGTTGCTTTGGATCAAAAGGATTTTGCGTGATCTTGGAATTGAACAAAGATTTCCAATGAATTTGTATTGCGACAATGAAGCTGCAGTGAAGATTGCAGCCAATCCGGTGTAACATGACAAGACGAAGCATGTTGAGATGGACAGGCATTTCATAAATGATCATTTAGAGATATGATACCTATCGAATATGCTAACTAAAGCGGTGTGTGGAAGATCATTCCATTGCTCTCTTAGCAAGCTGAACACGTTAAACATACATTCTCCATCTTAAGGGGGAGAGTTGGCTACTAGGAGAAGATAAGTCATACATGTGTAGATAATTGTTGTAGTTGTTCCAGATCCTAGAGTTACCGCTAAGTAATTGATAGTTTGGTAGAAATCTCTTGTATAAATATGTTATCCTGTAACCTAATTAGAAAATATGAAAAACGGAAAACTCTTCCACCAATCTCTCGTATTCTTTTCCACAATAAGAACATATATTTCCCTATACTTTAAACGCATGATTTTAATTTATGTGCAACATTTGCTCATTTGCCTTGTAAACATACATAAGCACAACGCTTCCTTGTGAAGAACGATTTTCCATGTATAACTTGTAAAACCAAAATCAAGTAAAGACAAAACTACCCCTGAATGAACTAATGAGCAGCCAACTTAATCATTGGCCAGTTGTAGAATACATTTTCTCTTTATTTATGAATCCATTGTATGTGTTATTGTTGTTGCCTCATATTGGAACTATAAATCGACAAACCATGCAAAAACTTTGTGTACCCAAGAAAACTAAGCTTTCCATCACTACTTCTTATCCAATCCTTCAGTATCAAATAACCAGATTCCCCCACATTCATTTCCTGCATCAAATTTCTCACAATACCATACTCAAGAAACCAACAATCAAGAGAGTAGTATAAACAAAGAGGTTTAAACTTAAAAATAAGCACCTGTGCTAATGCATCTATTGAAATAACACAGTTTCCTTCAAGTTCAAAGTACTGAAAAGCCGATTTTGCAATCATTTCCCATTCTTCAAGAGCCTCAAGTTGATATGGGCTTATTGCAGCAGCAGAAAACTCTTCAAATGTCATTTGAGTGTAAGATAATGGCTTCATCTGCAATCATATATAGAACCCATTATCTTGTTATCATGTGTCAAATGCAAGAAAGTCAAACTCTTTATTGTAATAAGCCCAAATGTTGTTTTACGGTTTTACCTTATCTAAGATATCAAAGACCCGTGATTCTTTCATGGCAACAGTTGAATGTTTCACAAGAGCCTACACATTTAGAGCCAAATTTATTTATATTTGTTGAAATAGAATCAATTTGGACTCATTTTAGAGTTTCGGGTTCATAAAGAACAAACCGTTTTAAAATTGTCCAAGGAAACACACCCATCTTTTGGTTCCAATAGATCAAACTGAGCACTTAGGTATCTCAACTCATCCTTACTTAAAGCTTTTGAGAGAGCCTACAAACATATCATCAAGAACTAAACAAAAAAACACTACGCAATTTGTCACAATTCAAATTTGATCTTCAATTATATACCTTTAATGCAGCACGCCTTAAAGGTGTAGCTCGAACATAAGACTTGACCAATTTATACACCATAATGTCCAATGGCACTCCATGCTTTTCTTCTTTCAACCATGGATGAGCTGCAAACGCCATATGAACAATTCAACACATGTTATTAATGTTTCAGATGATCGATTTTTAACAAAACTTATCAAAATATATATACATCTTACTCAAAGCTTGGGAAGCAGTCATTCGTTTTCTATGGTCTTTGTTAAGTAATCTTTTGACAAAATCTTTGGCTTCTAGCGATACAGAAGGCCAAGGTGAACCATTAAGATTAAGATCTGCTCTTACCACTGAACGAAATATACCCGATTCAGTTCTACCATAAAAGGGTCGACTTCCACATAATAATATGTATGTTATAACACCAATACTCCACATGTCAGCTTCGACATTATATGATCTATGGAGCACTTCAGGCGCAACATAGTAAGCACTTCCAACAATATCAGTCAGACGTTGATCTGTAGATAAATAGAAACCAAATTACACACTTGTTTTTAGGTTATAACTTGTAATTTAATCGTCTTTTATTATTTAAAAAAAAAAAAAAAAGTAACTTACCGGGTCTAACAAAGTCGGATAAACCGAAATCTATAACCTTCATTGGAGAATCTTCGTCTTTTGTACTAAAAAGAAAGTTCTACCCAATAATCGTGTTAGAATGAAGCTAAAAAACAACATTTGATTGTTCCGAATGAGATTAAATTAAAAAATAATAATAATAATAATCGTATGTATATATAACGGATACCTCTGGCTTTAAATCACGGTGTACAACTCCTTGTAGGTGAATAAATGAAGCAGCATTCAGTATTTGCATGACGATTGATTTAGCATCATGTTCTATATATCTTCCACCCCTGCGAAAAGAAAAGTGTAAAAATTAGAATCCATATGCAGATTAGTTGTAGGAATAGCAACAAGAATTAATAGATTCAAGTACTTAACCTGGATAATATTCGATCTAGAAGCTCTCCCCCTTGGCACAATCTGTTTGACGAAAGTATTGTTATAGATCGGAATCAAGTTGTGGGAATTATTGCAGAATATGTTCATGTATAAGGCCATGAAAAAAGAGGTGTTAATTTGACTTACTCCATGACTATGTATACGTTATGATCATCTTCAAATGCATCATAGAACTGGACCATGTGTTGATGCCCTGATAAGCCTTTTAATAATGTTACCTCCCTACGTACATCTTCAATCGATATAGCCGTTGTCATCTGTACAATGTAGGCAATTATTTAGCAATAATTTAGTGAACAAGGGAGTGAATTCATCAAGAACATTCAATAAAGTGCAGCAATTCATTGAATTTGATACGAAATTAAAGTGCGTAAAGCCAAGAATTCATCGAAGTACCTTAGATTTGGAGATGATTTTGACTGCAACAAACTGGTCTTTTAGAGCTCCTTTTTTACACTTCGCTCGACAAGTATGGCCGAAATGCCCTCTTCCTATTTCCTTTCCCAACTCATATTTGGCCCGGAAGTTTCTCGGAAACCCGAAATGTTTATCCAGCGGTGGCTCTCTCTCTTTCCTGTCGTCTTCTTGTATGGCAGCCGGCTTTTCTTTTTTAGTGTCCCGCCGTTTCCGTATCGCCGACATGATCGGTTTTGCCGGGGACGGAGGTGGGAACGGCCATTTGAACGTTCTCCTTGGTGTCCCCGCCGGCGATGGAGTCGCCCCAACTCCCTCCGGGTACGGGATCTGCCCTGGACTCCCGGTGTAAGAATGAAGTGGAGTGTCGCTACTGGAAGCACCGTTGCTCACTTTACCAACCGAGCCGCTTAGAGACGGCGGTTTGTGTTGAATGTGGTTTCTGCCAGCGGCGGTTGATCCAAGGTTAACATCGTCTTTCAGGGCTGAGGCTGCGACGGTGCCTTTGCTGCAGCAATGCCCCATTACTGGCAACAATTACTCCGTCCGGCGAAAGATTCTTTTGAACTTTTACAACAATTTCAGGATCATTAAACGGCGAACATAGAACATCACGTATGCATACATTTATAGCATTTTTTATGTAGATGATTTCAATGGAGATACAGAAACATTCCAATCTAGATGCCATTTTAATGTGAGTTTTATCATCGACAGCAAAGACATTTAATTTTTGAAGCTGCTTAACATTAAAACAAGCCTCTACCCACAAAAGACGAATTCAATGTTGATCTATCCGACCCGACCCGACCCGACCCGTCGTATTTTTGTCTTTGTATTATATGGTTATGTTGGAAAAAACCGTTTGTGACATCAACTTATTATTATTATTATTATTATTATTATTATTATTATACATACAATTAATTTCCAACAGGCTTAGCTACAGTGTTTTTTTAGCCGTGGGGTAAATGTTTTGGAAGCTAATAATTTTTATCGGCTTTGAGTTTTTTTTACTGGCTCGAGATTTAGTGTTGATGTTGGAGCTGAGGCTTGCGGGTTCAGTAGGTAAGCCCATTTCTGATCCTACCGCCCAATCAGAATAAGAGTGGTGTGCCTAATTACGTATTACGTGTGATATCCACCGCTTCATGAAAACCTGATTGGTGTGCCAGATTACGTCTGATCCCAAATTGTTCTAAAAAATATGAAATCTCAATGGTTCACGTCTTCTTCGCTTCTCTGCCGCTCCTATGCTCATTCATTACAACTATCAACCTCCACCTTCGTAACCACCATCCCTTCAGCTTCACCCAAAATAGAACATAAGAGACAATGGCAGAAGCCAGAACATACGTGGATAGGGCTGTAAACGAACTAAACGTTTCGTGAACCGTTCGTGAACTGTTCGGCGGGAAGTTCGTTAATTTAATAAATGAACGAACATGAACAAAAATTATCGTTCGTTTAGTTAAACGAACGAACATGAACAATGGTCTCGTTCGTTCATTTATGTTCGTGAACGTTCGTTTATGATGTTTGTTTACGTTCGTTCGTTTAAGTTTATTTATATTCATCTATATTCAATTAATTTTTATTATATCGCTATATTATATGTTCGTTTATGTTCATATATGTTCAATTGTGTTTTTTTTAATCTTTGTTCGTTTATGTTTGTTCGTTTATGTTCGTTTAGCATATTCACGAACATAAATGAACGAACACGAACAAAGTAATTTGTTAAACGAACGAACATGAATAAGAAAATTTCGTTCGTTTATCCGTTCGTGTTCGTTTGTTGTTCGGCTAACTTAAATAAATGAACATGAACAAGACCTTGTTCGTGTTCGTTTGGTTCGATTACAGCCCTATACGTGGATGTCGGCTATCACCACCATCGACTCCTCTTACCGTCACGGTCCACCGTCCTGGTCGACTATCTCATACGTTTATTTTCATGCGCCGCAGTAAGCTCTACCACCATCGCAATCGACGAAATTCCCAATTCTGGTTCTCTCAATTGTTAATTGTCGCAAATTGCAATTATGATGTCTATGTTTGTAGGTTGTTCGTCATATGTGGTGTAAGGTTCAGTTAAGTTAATACTCATTTTGTTATTAATTTTGAAGTTGAAATTTTGTCGAAGGAACACTATTTTGTTGAAAATAGAATTTATGCAAATGAGAATAACGTGTTGGTTAGGTGAATTTCCCTGTGGGTATGATAAATTTTGTACTGATAACGTGATTTGATATGCATGCAGTGTTAAACAATTATTGATTGTTGTTTGTTTGTTCGTTCGTTTGGTTTTACCTCTTTGGTGCCTTCGCATGTGTAGCTTTTTGAATAATTTATTTTTGAATTGTGTGTCAGTATATGAATTGAAGCAACAAAGGAATCCAATTTGCTATTGACCTGTTTAGGAGGTGGTTAGATGGAGAAAGTGATAACATTGAATTTAGCAATGAATATAAATGAAGCCACCAAGAACATATATGAGAAAAATAGCTCAGAAGAGGTAGAAGATACATGAAAAGAAATGATTCCACCTGTTGCAAATTCAATTCACGTATCAACTTCAAGGCCAAAGCTTGATCTTTGTGGTGTAGCTATTCAAGGGGATTTTGAAGAAAGAGATCTCACCATTCTTTTGCCTAATCGATCTGATGATACGTCACAATTGGCTTTTGACATTGGAGGTAAATTTTCTTCTTTTAGTTTAATTTAGTTGTAATTTTACAAGATTGCTCTTTTGTGTTTCTTGAATGCCTTTGTAGTTGTAAATATGATCTAATTTCAACGATTTGTATCAGGGTCTCTCATAAGGTTAGTTTATTTTACAAGACGTGAGGATAGATTATTTAATGACAAAAGAAAGAAGTCCATGAAAGAGAGATTTGGAGTTACTAACGGCAGGAGGAGCATTCATATCCTTAGAGGGAGGCTGCATTTTGTGAAATTTGAAACAATTAAAATTAATGAATGTTTGACAATTGACATTCATCCAATCAAAATAACTTCAACAATTAACAAAAAAAAAAAAAAAAAAAAAATTATTCTGACCCATGCGGAGCATGGGCACTACACTAGGTATTATTATTTTAAACAGTATCGCCTATGAAGATGTATGGTAAGTTCGGAGTTTTAGAAAAAATTGTTTTATAAAGTTATTTGCTTTATTTATGTGCATGAATTGTTGTTATGATGTTGCAATATTTGACAACTCAAACATTCAAACATCTTATTCTGACTGCAATTGAACTTTTTAACATTATAATTAGATTTATTAAACTATTTTTAAGTATCTCATGTGAGGGGATGCTTTAATTTGTAATTTACATTGTTATGAATTATGTTTTATTGAACAAATATTCATGATTACAATACAATAAGATTATTTTAATGGGTGTTTTGTTCGAGTTATAATATAAGCAAATTAGATTGTTAGAATAGTCGATTTACGTCACAACCAGCAATGTCTATTGTATTGTTTTTGACATTTTATGATATGAAGTTGTTTTCATTGTTGTTACGAATGTATGCATTATCTACATTTGTTAGTGAGTATAAATTGTTGTATTTTTTTTTATGTTAGTGAGTACTAATTATTGTATTTTTTATGTTAATTAGTACTAATTGTTAGTATTTTTTTTTTCTTATATGGAGTCATGAACCACACAACTATGCATCATTTTGAATCTAACTCGGCTAGTCCCTTTTGTTTATGTAATGCCTTTTACATTGTTCGTTTTTTTTTTAAAAAGAACTTTGTTCTTTTTCTTAATTCTTATATGGTTGACTATAAACTTAAGAGGAACGTGAATAATATAAAATGAAATTTGAAATTTTGGTAAACCAAGGGAAAAAATACAAAGCATTTGAAAAATGGGTATTCATAATGGAATTACTGTATCGTGGCATACATAGATTTGTTTGTCGAGTATTATCATTAAGGATATACGACGAGCCTTGTGAGAAATTACAACACATATTTAACCTGATCATCAAAGACAAACATGATCATATATTCATTAAGTTGTTGGTTATACGATTAGTGATGTTAGTTTATCAACTGCAAGGATATTGGGTTGAAGGGAGTTAGAGTTGATGTGGAAACAAAGAAATGATGATTAATTTAATGTTTGTTTTGTCAAATGTCTAAGTTGTTTAAATCTTTAATAGATTACATTAAATTAAACATTGATTATATATAAATCAATAGATATTTTTTAATTTAATTTAGGATTAATATTATAAAAGTCCTATATTTTTACCACTAAATTTAATAAAGATCTGGTTTTAATTTTTGGTTGACTATAGACATGATATTTTCGTGAAATTATCACTTGAGAGCTAATACCTGGTGACGAGCAGGAAACATGTTCCTATCCGGTCACCACTAACCTATTCCTTAGTCATCACGTTTCACGAGCCATCACTGATAAAGGGTTTCATGCATTCGAGAAGAGTTTGACGTTGAGAAAGGTTTCACAGTCCCCAATTTTGCCAATTTGAAGCTCTGAAATCGTTGGTGAAGTAAGGTGGAGTAGAAAGGTACGTGTATGGAAACAAGAAATTGATGATTCTGAGGGTGGTTGTTTTCGTCTATGGAGTATGGAGTTCCAAGTTTGAACTAACAAGTTTTTTTATGAAACAGATGGCTTTTACTTTTGGAACTAAGAAGCCTAAGCTCCCTGAGAAGACATACCTTTCAGACTCTGACTCCGATGATGATGCATTTGACTTTAGCTTCTTGGATTTTTCTGAAGAAACTTTCAAAGCCCCATCAAAACTATGTGATGATCCTTTTCTTAACTGAAACAATAAGCAGAAAATCATCTTTGTAGTCAGATAACTGAAGACCAGGGGTTTAAGTTGGTGGAAGTTGTTGGCAGATACAATGTCACAAGGAGAAGCCATGAGGATGTCTTGCGAAGTATTCCTAGAGCAGTTGAAAATGCAGTACTGCTTAGAGGTAGATCTAATAGACCTAAAAAACGAGTTTCAGAACCTAAATAAGGGGAAGATGAGTGTTGATGAGTACGCCACCACATTCACTAAGAATATGAAGTTATGCCCCTACTTGGTGCCTATTGAACTCTGAAAGATAAATACGTTTGCTAACGGATTACCAGCGGACTTTGGTGCAACGTTAGAAATGGAAACTACTTTGAAGACAGCTGTCAGAGTAGCCAAGAATGTGGAGACCCAATGTAACAGTCGGGTTTCCAGGTATATTATTTTATTTATTTATTTTGAATTATGAGGAGGAACTCGGCGAGTTGATGCATAGACTCGCCGAGTAGGGCCGTGATTGTTCATCCGGATTCATTTTGGACTCGGCGAGTCCATGAGTGGACTCGGCGAGTCCACGCTGTTTAATGAAACCCTAAATTCCCCGGGTTTGGAGCCTATTTAAGGGCACTTATAGCCTCTCATTGCAGCTACCAATCCATTGAGAGAACCCTAAGTGAGCCAAATCGTTGTAAGGAAGAAGAAGTTACTTTTGATCCTTGTACCTTTGGTTTGGCAAGAAGCAGGTGCACAAGAGCAAAGGGGAGGTGCGATTCTAGCAGTTCCATAGATTCAGAGACTTCATTTTGAGGTAATATCGAACCTCCTTCGGTTTTGGTGTTGATCATTAGAGTTAGGGTTTTCTAACCCCCTTTGGAGAGTGATTATGTGGAGCAAATGGTCCCTCTTCAAGTTTGTGCCTTGGATCTGGACTCAAAGAGGTCCAGAGACCTTAACCCTTGGAGCTTTATGGATCAGTTTGGGGTTATTGGACTTAGGTTGCCATTTTTGGGACTAAATCTCCTTTTGATGCCTTGTTGTTATACAAGCATCAAGTTTCGAGCTTTACGTGACATTCATGCTTGGGAATGCCAGATATTTGATTTAGGGAAACAGATCTGACCTCAGGAGGCCAGTAGAGTTTGTGCATGGCATGAACTCGCCGAGTTGTTCCTGAGACTCGGCGAGTAGGGTTAGGGTTTCACGTAAATTGCTCAGTGAGTAGACTTGCTGAGTTGGGGATGACTCGGTGAGTCAGAAGGGAGTTAGAGGACTGGAGTTCAAGGCGGTACTAGCCGAGTGTTCTTGAGACTCAGCGAGTTGAGTCGTGGTGGCCCCGCGATTCATGCCTAGTATGACTTGTCAAGCATACAGAGGGACTCAGCATGCCAAGCGGGACAAAGTGTTAAAGAACATGTGTGAACTCGCCGATTCACCAGGGTGCACTCGGCGAGTAGGGTCAAAGTGTGACCGTTGACCTTTAGGGTTTGGTCAATGGAGTACTTGTGTCGAGAGGGGGGTAAAATAGCCTTTTTTCCCTCATGAGGGTGCCAATGGCAGGTTGAGTCTAGTCTCGAGAGTTATATCTTTAAGAGTATTTACTTCATGTGAATAGGCGAAAACTAGACAATATTTCTACTGAGTCAGAGATTTACCGAGACGCCTGAGGTGAGTCTTCTCACTATACTTTACCTAGTGTGGTAACAGAGTTGTGATAGAGTATTTTAGAGTTATATGCCAATGTGATTTCATGTTATTTATGTGCTATGATTTATTGTGATACGTGTTATGTATGATTAAGAGTTAGGACCTTCGGGGCCACAGAGTTAGGACCTTCGGATCCACAAAGTTAGGGCTAGAGGGCCCATGGAGAGTTGGGGCTGGAGGGCCCCACTGAGACACATAGACCTGAGGGTCAATAGAGTTACAGCCTCGAGTGGCTATTATGTGTTAGAGTGGTATTTTGGGGAACTCACTAAGCATTTATGCTTACAGTGTTATGTGTTATGTGTTTCAGGTACCAGTGATGAACGCGGGAAGGCACCGACATGATTCGTACACGCGCACACCAGAGTTTTTATATATATTTTGATCTTGGGTTTTGTACTAATACAATGTTGATACAATGTCTTATTTATGATTTTAAGTGAAATTTTATGGGTTACAAGAGTGAAAATTGTTCAAATTTTTACGGTGTTACACCCAACTTTGGGAAAAGGGTCTAGAAAGAGTTGGGGTAGGGGAGAAGAGGAAGTTTAATGGGTCTTTAAGATCCGACAAGGAAAATAGGTTCCCGAAGTATGATCCCAACAATACAAGGTATGGGGATAGCAATGAAGAAAAGTAGTGTGACAAGTGCAGAAGGAAACACATTGGGAAATGCTTTAAAGAGGTGACCTGCTTCAAATGTGGGAAGACTGGTCACTATGCCAACGAATGCACGTCCAAGAGAGAAGTCTGCTTTAAGTGCGGCGAAGGACACTTCAAGTAAGATTACCCAAAGAGGGAAGGAGCTACAAAGCCAAATGTACCGCCGAAGACAAATGCAAGAACATTCCAAAGGATCCATGATAAAGCAAGTGACGATGCAAAGGATTAGGAGTAAGGATTTATATATCTGAAGATTGAGATATAAATTAGCCATATAGATAGTATAATGTGGCGTAGCCCAATATAAGAGGCATAGTATAGGGTGAACTTGAATATTTATGTAATCGTTTCAAGAAATAATATAAACCTTAGTTATGTTATCCGATGTATTAAATGACTATGTGATATTCTTGTATGGTGACTTGGAGAACTGAGAGGCAATACTTGGGTCGAGTATGAGTAGGTGTGAAAAGTAGTAGAGGCCTATACTACCAGAAGCACATGACTCACACTTGGATTAGGGAAAGTCACAAGGTTACCAAGGCACTTGTAATTGATTATGTTTTGTTCATGCTTGTCGTCACCATTGTTTCGGTAATAACTAAGAAGATGATTGATATTCTGACCCTAGTGGTCATATCAAATCGAGTCCGAATAAGATAAGTATGTTACGTGGTTCAAAGAACCAAGTTCAATGTATCATCTGACTTAAGCCAAAAGATTGAAGAAACAGACAATCGAAGCGATCAATAGAAGTATTACGATCGACTTTAAAGTAAGAAGCTTGTAGATAGAAGTGATACATCATATAATGTGATTATATCACATTAAAACGTGAAGGAAGGTATCTTCCATTTTGGAATCTGACTCGAAAAGATCTGAGTCTAAGTGTTGCATCATATGATGAGAGGTCATTAGAACATGACCCATTGACCTGTTACGATAATTGAAGTAAATAACTTATCTTAAGTTAAGTTTGTTTAAGAATGAGTCGGAGTCTCCAGTAAGGATTGAGTTTGTAAGTCGAAGGTTATGATTGAAAGTCCAATATAGTATGAAGAGTGGGTGCATGATTGACCACCGTCAGTAGTCAATAAGTCCAAGAGTTAGATACTCATTTGAAATGATATAAGGTTTATGGTTATTACATATGATGAAAAGATAACGTCTGGAGTCATTATACAAGCCTTGTTTTGTTGATGATTCCAAGACATAATCATCCTAAAGGGGAGATAATTGTAACGTCCGCAAATTCGGGCTAGTCAATTTAAAGGTAACAAGAATTAAAAATGAAATTTTGATAGAAGATTATTTAGAATAAATATCTTAACGAAAGTTATAGTGTATGTCACAAGGATTCCGTACATATAAAGAACGTTGAAATCTGATTTATAACGAAGAAGTTATGGTCTGTTAAAGTTTCGTGATTAAACCGACACGACTCCGTGTATCATAAAAAGTAAATTTTTGATAAAATAATTTTTAGCCTTAGAAATATAAACAAAATTTGTAGTAGATGTTAAACCGAGAGTGTGCATATAGAGAACGTCCAAATATGACTTCATTTGAGGAAGTTATGATTTTTTTAAGATTCATCGTAGCAGTGTACAGCTTGGAAATCGAATTTTAGATCGGTCGATTTTTAGCCAAAAGATATAAATGAGAATTAAATATATCGTTCATAGGAGCTCAAAGATATAAAGACAATCAAAAATGTCGAATGACAAATTTATGAATTTTTAACGGATTTTAACCGTCTAAGCATATTAAAATATAACTTTAAAAATAAAGTCAAATTTATCCAACAAAGTCTAAAAGAAAGTTGTATATCACGTCAATAGCTATGCGTGGATATATAAAGAACATAAAAAACAAAGCTCGTATGTGAAAGTTATGAATTTTACAAGATAATTAATTTTCAGATTAATAATAAGGCTACACGTGGCACGATTTAGCACCACACCTTCTTCCCCATAACTGTCAACCAGATTGTGACACGTGGCACATTACACCCAATGTAATGTTTTGGTACACCCACTATACTGAACAGTTTCTGTCTATAAATAGAAGTCGCAAATCACTCAATTCTTTACACCATTCCATCATACTCTTTCCCAACTCCCCCTCCCCTACCCCAAGGCCTCAATGCCTTTCTCTAGCACTTCCCAGGTGTTAGTAGCGAAGCTCTGGAGCATCAGAAAGCCCCGAGAAGTAGAGCTTTCCGATTTCTCGCTAAACCACATGTAAGTTAAGTTATGTTTACCATATTTTAAGTATAACTCATGTTTAAGTTCATTATTGTTATTATGAACCTATAAACAAGACTTGTCAGTGATTCCAAGTCGTTATACTGATTAATCCACTTGTGGGGATGATGTCTAGGCTTAATTTAGTGAGGTGTTTAAAGTGAAATTTCCAAACAGTATATTTTGTATACCAAACGAACCCTATCTCGAATATGATCCTAACTTGTTGTGTCTTATCAGTTATAGATCAGTAGAGTCTGAATTAATGATGAATCTAGACTAATAATTAGTCGCAATAAATATTAAACTAAGATTTAATGATAATGACACTAGATTACGTCAAAGGAAAAAGACAGTTGCTAAGAGCGAAGCGCTGTCCGAATTTCGAGTCGTCACTTTAATAGGTGAG